TCTTAAAATTTACCCCAAAGGGGTTATATACAAGTAATGATTAAAACTGACCTAAATCATAATTTAATTAAAAGAAATTAAAATGAAAACTGAAAATGTTCAGCAACCTCAGGCCACCACATTAATGATTCACTTTAATGTGTTTGTAGTTCTGCAATAATGGCCTTTGTATGTATGTGCTTCTTGGTTTATGTCTGATATTATTTTACCACTGGAATAGTTTGAAAATGGTTGCAGGCTGTATGATCTCAAGTGCCTATATGGATGTACATGTGCTTTCTTCTCACATTTTATGGGTTCAGTGAAGCCAGCATATCTACTTGTGTGCAGAAGGCAGGTCAAGGCCTATATTTTCACTTTCTCATTAATTAGTTTCTCTGCTATACAATAAGGACCTTCATGTCATTAGTATGATTACCACAGCAGTATTTCTGTGCTGTAAAAAAGACAGTTCAAAACTGGCACCCCATGTCTGACAGATCATGGTTGTACTTGTATTTGTTTACAAGAAAGAAGCACAGGTCAGACCAGTGGAGAGATGCCAAAGTCACTGGCCATGCAGAAAAGCAGAGGATGCTCCTGAACCTGCATGGCAGAGCCATTCAGAGATGTAACAGGATCCAACCTGGTGTCCCAGGATGTGGCACTTGCACAAATTAAGATGAAAGGGCCCAGGTATTGGCCCTTTGTCACTTTTATTTCTACCCCAGGATGGAGGAGGAGGTTTGGAAAAACCTTATTCTGAACACTGACACTCTATAGATGATATAAATAAAGCTTTCTCTGTAGCAAAAGCAATTTTATTAATAATAGCCTCTGTGTTCATGACTTGGACTGGATGATCCTTGTGGATCCTTTTCAGATCAGAATATTCTGTGATTCTGTGTTGGAGGGGTAGAAATGGACTGGTTTGTACTGGTTATGCAGAATTTCTTCCTTGAAATAAAAAAAAAAAAATACAGTATCTGCAATTCTGTTCTCTTCTGAAAAATGTCTTTTTGCAGCAGTTTTTGGGGCACTGACTTTAGCCTCATCTCTATGTATGTCACCAGCTGCTTGTGAACAAAGGTGCTTGCTGAAGAGGAGTAGGTGTGTGAGCAGACATAGCACTTCCTCAGCTCTGAAATGGGAAAAGCCAAGAGGCCAGCAGGCTATTAATATTTTTGACTTGCCGTGTTTGTCACAAGAACAGTGGAAGATGTAAGAAGCCACATGTTTCCAGGCTCTTACAGAGAAAATGTGAAGAATACTAAAACCTGCTCCAAGGGTTTGTTCCCTGACCTTTCATCTGGATCTTGTCCCAGCCCTATCCTGTCTGATGGCTGGCTTATTTTTTATCATATTATCGGCTTCATGTGGGGGCTGCCACTGCAGCTGGCACCTCACTAAGCATGCTAAATACCTCTCCATAACAGAAAGTGGGCAGGCACTCCTGGAGAATCCTCTTTTCTGGTGGAGTTAGAAGTGCCACTTACTCTGCTAGCTTGCTGAGCGTGCTGATTGATCCTTGTTTAGCCTCTTTTCTACCAAATATAACATTTGGGGAGGGGCAAAGGGAATGGATTTTCTTGATGACCTCAAAGAAAGTGCCAAGAGAAGAGAGCAAGAACCTATCAGACAGTAGTCAACTTGGCAAGAGAAAGCAGAATATATGGACAGAAGAATGTATTTTAGTGTCTGATGTGCTTATTTTGTTTGTACAGTACTACTGTAATCCTCAAACTTCTATTTTTTAGAACTGACTCATGCCAGGGGGAAAAGAAACAGATGTTCCCATTTGTCTTGTGATGTGGCTCAAAATAATTTACATTTTCTGGCCTAAAATGACACGACATGTCATTTGCCACTTTTTGTATCTCCTTTGGAGTGAGTGACAGATTGCTGTTCAATTACCAGTGTAATAGAAAAGCAAATATTGTGAGGACAGCTTTCACCTAAAGGAAATACAATCACTGATTGCTGCAGTAGTGGGAAAAGAAGGATGGCAGATACTGTAGAAGCCATCCAGTGGAAAAGACATTTTTATTATAAATAATGTCGTAGGGAAGACTCAAGGAAAATGTACTGGCTCTGGCTTTTCTGCCTGGAGAAAAGGAGAGCCGGGGTGAATAAAAATATGATGGAAAAATTGTCTCACTACTCTTGTAAAATAGATTTCCAGCTCTTTGCCTTGAGGACGTGCTCCTTGAAGCCTTTCCATCTGCTCTGCACCCAGTTCCAGTGAAGAGCAATAACTGCAGAAAGACTCTTCATCAGTCAAAGACACTCAGTGAGAGACTCATTAGAAGGGTTTTATAAAAGTGGAAAAACCTGTTTGTCAAAGACTTTGGGATTAGTTTCTTCTCCACTCTATAGTTTGCTTTCTTGTCAGTGTATTCATGCTCTGCTTCCACCCTTTCTCACAAGATAAATAGATACTCCAGGCCAAGCAGAGCTTAACCATTCCTTCTGCAAGTCATTTATTTGAGCATCACTTGTCCGGTCTTAATTTTTAACATTTCCTTTTCTCTATTTCTGCCAAAGTCACTTGCCAGGCACAACACTTACTGTCAGTACACTGATCAAGATGAATTTTCATGTCATGATCCAGTCAGTCTATTGGACTGGATCAGAGTGCGAGAGGTGAAGTTTCTGCTTAAAGTTTTTTACATTTTTCTTTCTAAAGGAACAAAATGAAGTGAAAACATGTTGAGAATCCTGTAATTTAGGTTCTATGAGACCAATTCTAAACAGTGAATGTCCAGTGAGATAATACATTTAGAACTGAGAAATGTGGTTTACCTGATAATCTACCAAACCAGATGATCATTTTAACTTTCTCTTGTAGTTTTTCTCTGAGTGACTTAAGAAGAGATATAGTTCCTTGGCAATAAATATGATTGAACCCTTGAAATACCCGGTTTTAGTCAAGTAAGTTGTGCTTAGAGTCATAATAATGGATGTAGAAGAAAGTATCATCTGGAAATGGAGTTTTAAATTGTGAATTCAGTAAGGTAATGCTAGAATTAATTTCGTTTATATATCGGTAGTTACATTTATGCCTGACCTGCTTTTTCTGGTTGTGAAGTTCTTTCTGCATAGAGTGAAAAATGCATAGAGTGAAAAATGATCATAATTGAATCCTTGAAGCTTTGGCACTGCTAATTTTACAGTGATGCAATAATCTCTTTTGGTCTGACCTATTGGTAAAGATTTTTCCAGTGCTGCTGCACTGCTGTGTTACAGGATTGTCTTTTTTTATGAATTGCTTGCTGCATAGCTTGATGGCACCAAGCCTGTGTTTTAAGAGAAAAGGGGTGGGAAAGAGAAAAGTTTAGCTCACTTTCTGGGTTTTTTTCCATGTGGTCCTCCTGTTGTGTGTGGACAGGCGGAACAGTGACTTTGAAAGCAATACCTTTTGATTTCAAGTCAGGAAAAGAAAAACCCTGCAGCTTTTGTCAGTTAATTTTGGTCATCCACATAATGCAATTTTTTACAGGTTAGAGCTCACTAATGTGCTAAGAAATCACTATGGCAAGGCAACCATTAAGGTTAGAATTCATACAAAGAGTTACCAGGAGGGCAGGAAGCCCAAGTCCCCACTGATGGCCATCAGCCCCACCCTGCCCACCTCTCTTCTCTCAGGTGAGGTGTGTCAAGTTCCTGCTCCATCTCCTCTCCTCCTGAGAGCAGCTCTGTGCAGGGCCAGCCTTGGAAATAATTCTCCACTAGTCCCACCTGCTGGATGCCAGGAAGAATTGCCTGCTGGAAAGAGGGAAATCATCATACCTCAGCCTTTAAATATCAGCTGGGTGCAGTGTGCCACCAGATGTACATCTGCCTGTGGAAAATACGTGCTCTCTGTGTTTTCCTTCCATCCACCTAATCACATTTGGACCACTGCTATTCCCATCATCAGGTTCCGTGTGTTAAGTAAAAGCAAGGTGACTGACACAAGGAACTTTAGCTGTGTTGTTTTAAGGAGCTGTAATCAGAAAACCCAGCAGCCAGCAAAGATCACAGAAAAAAAAAAAATGTGTATCATTATCAGGACATTTCCAGGCCTGGGAATGAATCTTCCTTCTCACAATGTATATGCTCAGCAGTCAACTTTTCAAATGTTTCATTAAGGCTGGTGCTCAGCTGTTCTTGTGGTGCTGCAAAGCAGGGTGTGTGGCCATGGCATCTGATCCTACATGCAGCTCTGCAGCCTATCATCATGTTATTATGAAGCTAAAAGAGCCTTTTCCATCCCTGAAAACAGAGAATTCCTGATATATTTCTAATAAGGGCAAGCAAAGTTTAGGAGACCCATAGATATTTTTCAGGGTATTACCCATTTTCAGTGGTTATTTGCTGTTTGAAGCCTGCCTTCCAAAAGAGAGCTGGAGGGTAGAAAATTGATAATGAATGTGAAGTAGTGAAGAAAATTGGGAATGAATGTGAATGTAAAAAGGGAGAAAATTCATTCAGTCCTAGCAGTCTTACTTTGGTTTGGTGCACTCTCTTCATTACAGCCATTTGTGATGCATTTTTATACTTTATGTTAAGTGGCATTGTGGCTTTTGCTTTAAAATTCAATTCAGTTGATTCTTCCCTTCCATAGGCATGGAAGTTCTGCAGGTCAGAAGCACAGCCTGAGAATCCTGTTGAAGTGTTACAGGAGGAAAATAACCCTGGGAAAAAACCTCTTTATAAAATACATAGAAGTTCAAGCAACAATTTCATTTATTGTGGACTGTGTTTAAGGAAACATCTCTCTATTTGGTATTGTTATTTCCAGTGAGCCTATTGAGATAAATTCTGTAATCCTCATCTTGAGATAAAAAACATGACTGGTTTAAATGGAACTGGTCCTGTTGGGAGGTTTTTTCAGCTTACCTTTACATCTCTCCTTTTTTATCACAGCGCTTTGCTGTAAATTAGCAGTTTGTGCTAAATTGATTACAATTAATATTGCAGTGCTCCAGGTACCAATAAAAAGATATATCATAAATAATTTTATGTGTTTTTCTCAATAGGTGGTAATGGCACAGTGGATAAGCAAAACACCGATGAAAATAAGACACAGAGCCAAGAAGCAGGTTTGTGTCCAGCTCCTTAAAGGCCTGTCTTGGGTTTTATCCACTTTGGTGAACAATAATCTTAGTCAGTGCTTTTGAAGGGGAATGTTTGTACATTTCCACCAGATTAGCTCAGGTCTTGAGCAATTCTCCCATTAGAGAGCGAATCTTCATTCATTATGAATGAATGTGTTGCAGTGCAGGAATGCAGACCCCTCTCCAGCTTACCAGCTCTACATTCTCCCTTTAAGGTGACTAATCTACCTAATCCTCTCACAAGGAGTAATTTTTTTTTTTCCCCTCTGCATAGAATAGGAATGAGGGAAAGAAATTTGGGGAAGGAGGAAGCAAGCAGCAGGGTCCTTCTGATGAAAACTCAACTGAATATTTTAAAGGGTATTTTCAAGTTGTAAAAAATTGTCTGCACAAGTCACAATGGTTATAAAGATTTAAATTCATAGAGAAGAATATTGCATATGCTGTGAGTGAACGTCAGAGTTCACAAGTGGTGGGTTTTGCAGGTGACACATTTATAAATTATAGTGAGTTCAGTATGTTGGAATATCATGTCACTCCCTGGCTCATAAGAGATTTTTTTTTTCTGTTTGTTTTTTTCTGTTGTCTGATTGTTTATGGTTTGCACAATTCTGTTCCTTTGCAAGAGACAGCTAGAATTAATTAGTTACCGAAAGACCTGAAGCAGCAATTGAAATATCTGTCTATTCCCTTATCTCTTAAGTATTTCTTTAACTGTAGAATTACATGTAGCACACTGTTTTTCTCATTTGATTAGGATTTTTTTCCCATTGTAATGCAGAATGTTCCTTAAACATATTTAAACCAGAGGGAGTAAAAGGGTTTTATTTGGAATTTCTTGAGCTGAAGGTAGCCAGTCAGCAAACACCAGATAAATTTAGAAGGCCTGGATTCCTGACTTATCTGATTTCCTTCCTGTATTGTGGTAATGAGAAGTCCATTGAATGAGGGTCTTCTTCTCGTCCCGTGCAGTGGCCACTGTGTAGGTAGAAGGGCAGCTTTCCTCCCTGCCTTCCTGTTCTGCAACTGTGTTAACATCTGATGTTGCCTGTGCATGCTTGAAGTCCTTCTGTGTTTCATGTCCTTTTTGTCACCTTTTCTGCCTCCTAATGTGAGGTGAAGCCAGAAGCAAACAGTATTACAGAATAAAATAGATTCCCATGGATCTCAGCAAACTTTGTCCACCCCAAGATAAGGGTATGGTGGTGTTTTGTAAGTGCTGGAGGGCAACCACATATCTTCCCTGGTTTTTTTTTCACTTTCATGCTAGGTGTATTTTAAACAGGCCCAGGGGACCAGAGAGAAGAATGCATTATTCTGTGTGAGTTGAGATTGTCTTTTGAATCTCTGACTAGACTGTGGCATATCTTTTTTCAAGCAATTTTGAGCTTTTAACTTTGCCAAGTAGTGCTTGACTGCTAGCTCACCTAAGAGCTAATACTGCCTGGAGCTCCTGCCTCCAGTTGCCGAGGCTCCTGTTAAACCTGATTATAGCATCTGCACATGCCCAATACACAGTGCTTGTCAGTGATAGTCACTCTGATGGGGTGAGTATTTCAGTTTGATTGAATAAAATACTCTTTTTTTCCCCAATAGAATTAAGGACTATTTGCCTCTTGAAACTACTACTTTGCTGTAGGTGTTTTAAATGCATTGTGCTTTTTCCAAAACTGCTTGTTATGACTTGTTGCAATATGAGCTGTCAGAGCTGGTTTATCAGAGCCATGATATACATTGTTTTGCTATCTTGTGTTGGTACTCATGTTTCATTATTCTCATGAAGAGTGTCAAATATAAGATCCAGACATTTGAGGTCCCAGATCCAGAAAATGTCATACTTTAGGGATGCAATTTAGTACATGCCTAAAGATAATGTCATGCCCACTCACAGCCCAATATCACTTCCTTGACCACGGGCAGATGATGTTGCAGGAAAAAATGATTTGGCTTAACAATTTTCCCTCCTGGTTTACATAGTGGCAGGAACAGAGAGGGCCACAATTAGCCCAAATTGGTTACATCCACTTAGTGAGTCTCTGCTCTTTTCTGCTCTATGCACTGCAGAGACAAAGCATCACCAGGAACTTTGAGGGTGCTGCTTTTTCACGCCTTCTTGGCAGTAGAAAATGACCTGATTTTCCAAGATACACAGTTGTATGCTTAGAAGATTTCTAAACACTATAAGTGACTACTGTTAGGAGCAATCCCACCAAATGTTAAAGTTCTTATTTGTATTATCTGAACCAAAGGCATAAACTTCTTCTGAATGTGACAAATCATATACTTCGATATTGTGAAAGAAAATATAGAACAAAAATTTGATGCTCTATTCTTACCTGATCCATTACATAAAGATTTTTATATTCTCATTATAGTAAAAAAATCATGATATTATAAAGAAAAGTATATATTATAAGGAAAACTATTGTAGTGGAGAAAACAGTAATAGTCTGAAAAGACTGAAAATTTTAAACTGTGTGGGTTTTTTTTTAAAGTCTGGCCTCCAGTCTGTCATCAATGGGCTTTACAGTTAACACATGGAAAAACAACATGGCAGGTGGTTCTGAGCTCTTCTTTCAATCTAGTTAAAAGTACTAGATGGCTATATAAGGAAAATATTTTCCCAGAATCACCAACAACAAGTCTTTTGAAAGAAATTAAAGTCTAGAAATTAAAATGAAAGCTTATAAAGATTTTTAGAACTATAAAAATTAGCAAGAAAATAAAATGTTTTCACTTTCACTATTTATTTAAGTTCAGGTACCAGTTGTATCTATTAACTACAATAGTTTTACCTGCATGCTCTCCTATTAAAAAAACTCCAAGCTGCAGATTTTTAGGGACTTTCTAATTTCAGGCCTGATTCATGAAAGCTTCTATATTCAGGAAAGCATTTGCATCTATTCATTTGGATTCCAGTGGGATTCGTGGACATGATTCAATTTAAGAATGACTTAATTGTTTTTTCTCAAAATATATGGATTAAATGAAAATAATTAATCTCAGAGCAAATAGAATACCAGCATACCCATGAAACTAATAGCTACTCCTCTCTCTGTATTATGAGAAATTGAAATACAGATTTAACCTGGCTCTATTGGAATGTGAGATTACATCTTGCTTAGGGAAGATGATCAGACCAGTAATAGCCAATGAATGGATGGAAGCCCAGTAAATGAAATTCAGGTCCAACACCTTGTCTCAATAAGGCATGACACTTTTTTTCAGTAAAGTGGTTCATCAGTTTTCTGTTTAATGAATAGCTTCTCTTTCATTTCCTTTGTTCTTATAGGTGAAACAAAACCTTCAGCTGTAGCCAGCCTATCATCAGAAGACATGGAGCTGAGTGAGAATAAAGGTACAGATTGGAAATTGTGTTTTGAAATATCCCATCCCAAGAGGACATTGCATGAAACTGTTTTTTCCTTTGTCTGGAAATAGCCAAACCACAGTTAAACAATACAGAAATAGGTAAATGCTTGGATTTTCATTTACAAAAGTCTTTGTAATGAAGTACTTGATACTTCATTACAACTGTTGTGCTGGTAGGAGAGATGCCACAAATTTGTAAGTCCTCTTGTTATGGAGTTAATATTAAAATACCATACATGACATAGCCAAAATAAGCCCAAAGCTTGGGCTCACTGGGGTGATTCAGAGGCATATAGTTAAGCATGCACATCTATCTCAGCAATATCAGCTCCCTGTTCAGTGCTCTCCTGATGCGGGAAAAGAAAAACACAATAGCTATAAACACATCAGGAGGAGACAGGAGGAGATGAAGTCATAATAGAGAGGCAGAAAGTAATGTTTATCTTGTGCAGACTGTGCTGGGCACTCAGATAATTTAGTTTGTAATAAATATTTAAAAGTGTCACAGGACCAAATGACAGGGTGTTTAGGAAACAAGAGAGATTGTCTAATTTAAATGTTTCAAGCTGAGAATTTTCCTGTGGAGTTGTTGGTTTACCAACAGATAGGAACCAGTGCACAGCTGTATTGTTTTTGATATTCCTGTAATAATCATGCTATTAGTTGCTTGTGCTGGTCTACATTTTTTAGCATTTTTGTGAGGTACAACAGGAAGAAGTCTGGGTGATATGTAAAATGTTTGCTACTGGTAATACAAAAGAGGAGTTATGCTATCTATAATAAATACAATCCATCAGTATGGCCTTCAAGAAAGACTAATAGAAAATTTTCATGCATTTTACTGAGATAACATAATTATTAACATCCATTAACTTATTTATTTTAAAAGATTTAATGTTTAATTCAGCATCACTACTTGACTCTCTTCTCATTTTTCTAGATAAGTGTGACAGGGTGTGAGATCCTGCCCTTTTGTTCAAAGCCACATGCTGGACAGCCTACATACTTACCTGATTATGAGTTCAAAGCCTTGTGCAGGTTGATTTAAGTGCTCTTTGAACAGATTGATTGATGCTGCAAAGAAAAAAAAGAACCACAAACCTTTGCTGGAGCACTGGCTTTTGCTTTTGATACATCACAAATTGAAGTCGTGGCAAGGGTAGTGGAAGGCAGAAAGAATGATGGATTCAATCCCAGCATGGCTGGTGATTGCCTGTCATTAATTTCTCTTGTTTTGATGACATTTGGCCTGTTTATATATTCTGTATCTGGAAGACTCCCCATTTTATCTGTTTCACAATGTGAGGGTCACAGCAAGACTTGGGTTTGGATTTTCCTTTTCTGTCTGATGTCAGCTGATGAGCCCAACAAATTGGTATTGTTCTGAGTGTTTGTTCCTAATGAAGAAGAGGACTGTCTTCTGATAAGCTTCCCAGTGTGTAAGCCCTCCAGGTTTTTACACCATTGCATTAGAAGTCTCTTCTTAGGAAAGAAATAATCTTTGTGTGATAAGTCTCACTTTTCATATAATATATTAAGAATATATATAGTGTTTTCCCCTCTTCTCTTGAGAGGCTGACAGAAAAGATAATGCCCCTGAGAGATCCAAAGTGCATTATCTCTTTGATGTCCTACCTCTCCTCAAAAGAAAGATGGGAAGCATCTGGTAGGGAAAAAGGAGTGAGACAAACTCTCCTCCATAGATTTTGTGTGTAAAACTCTACAAGTTTAGAAAAAAAAAAGAAAGAAAGAAAAGCTAAGACCATGTTTTCATATTTGCTTGCTATTTTTTTAATGGAAACAAGAATTTTGAACAGCAAGGCCACCATGGACTAGGCCATGGTTTTAATCCTTATTTCCACTGGTAGATTTTCAGCTTTGTAGATTTTTACTGTGAGGGTGCCAAGGCATTGGAAGAGGTTGCGCAGAGAAGCTGTGGATGCCCCATCTCTGGAAGTGTTCAAGGCCAGGTTGGATAGGTCTTTGAGCACCCTTGTTTAGTGGAAGGTGTCCCTGCTGGGGGATTGGAATGAAACAACCTGCAAGATCCCTTCCAACCCAAACCACTCTGTGATGCTTCAATGTTTCTATAATTTCAGATTTTGAGGGCTTTTTTAAAATAAACACTACTGTTATTTAAAAAGTGCTAATTCTTGAAAAATGGCACTTTTACAAAATCGTGGCATTTCTGAAAACACCTGATGCTCCTGAAACAAATTCCAGCTTTCAAATTGTTTGCCCACTGAGTTAACAAGGCTAAAACCTCCAGGTTCTGGAACATACTAATTTCTCTAGTTTATCTTCAACTAAATGAACAGGACATAAAGTATTTAAAGAAATTATGTTTTCCCAGTCCTTCCACTTAATTACTGTAAAAGATTTATGGCAAAGAAGTCTAGCTGCACGTTCCCAAAATGCATCGTTTAAACCACTATTTCCTGCTAGGAAAGTTCAGGTCTTTCAAATGTCAGCTCACTTTGAGTGCACCAAAACAAGGATTTTGTTTCCAATTAGAGTTGACTAGCAGTTTTCCTGCTTTTTTTTTTCCTCCTCATATTTCTGGGATTAAAATATAGCAAACACATTGACATAGTTATTGCTCTAAAATATGATGATATTCAAAACAAAGCATATCCATCTCTGCTACTATGAAGATCTAGGATTTTTGTTGTGAGTCCTCTTTATCATTTTTTTTTAAGGAAAAGAGGGAGGATGGGAACATGAAAGGGATTTTCATTATAAAAGTAGGGGGCAGTGCAGGAATTACACTCGAGGGGCTTAGATTAAAATGAAAACCTCCTGTGAGACTGCAAATCTCACATTAATCTAAAAGTATATGTCTTCTGTTACCATAGGAGAGATACTGTCCAGGAAAATAAGTCCACACAAACCCAGTTTGCACATGACCTTTGAGCAAACTGAATTTTTTGAGTGTTCATCTGTCTCCAGAAAAAAAACGGGGGGAAGGCAGCTGCAGGAAGCGGGAGAACAGTCATATTTCAAGAATATCAGGGTTTTCAATGCAACACTGTAGAGGTATCCTCTTACTCCAGTCTGTGCCAAGTTTCTCTTTCCACTGTCTGCAAAGAACTGTTGCAATTTTACCCTTATAAACTTGAATGTTTAACTATGATATCATAGTTAAACAACTTTGCAAGTGCTTCATAACTGTGCATATGGAAGTAGATCCTTTATATCCAGCAAATTTCGAGTGAGAGATGCTTCTTTCTATGAAGTGTAAGGACAGAACAAAGTGATTACATTCATTAATGTTTATGCAGCAGTTAAAGGGTGTATCAGGCAGGCTGCACTCAATCTGGTATGTCTGTCTGTACAAGATTGTGCTGGGGTTACAAACTCATTTTAAACTGACCATGTAGTCTGTAGAGATTGGATTGAAGGATTGAACCTGTGCTTATGTTTTGTTAAAGAGAATATGTGTACATACATGTGTGTGTGTCAGAGAATCTTCTGCATCTTCATCTCAGTTGCCCCTTCTACCAATTACTATTTAACCCAATTTAATGATTAGACTTTCTGGCAGGAAAATGTAAAAAGGAACTGGATTTAGTAGAGGTGAAGCATAAATCCCTACTATGCAAAGTTTCTGTGCACAATACATTGATTATAATTCATTAGCACTTAATAAGAACTGAATTTTCATTTGAAGGTCAACTAAATTAAATCATACACTAATTAATTTTAAAAATAAAGAAGTGATTGATTAATTATTTCCAGATGTTCACCAAAGTCTGGGCTTCTGTGGGAGTGCCATTGAAAGCAAGTCACTGTTTTTCTGCATTCTCTGGAGTCAGATTCAGTTGGCTGGAGGGCTTGTGTTTTCAGAAACAGAATTAGATATATGACTTGGCTAGGGGTTAGCCCTAAAAATTCTCTTTGGGCAACCCACAAGCTGGTAAGTATCCTGACTGTAAAATACAATGGGTATAAATTCCTCATTGGCCAGCTGTAGCTCTCAGTATGGAAAAATCATGATGTCCTAAAGACATAAATGATTGAGAAGGGATAAACTGAAAGAGCGTTTAAAATGCAGGGGAGCTGTGCAAATTGACATAAATTAGTCATTGGTAAGCATGTGAAAAAGATTGACTGAAAGGCCAATATGTTCAGAAAGAGGTTTTTAAAATCAGTTCTTAGGTACATATTAAGACATCTAAATGACTGACCTGATTTTGAGCACTCAGCAGCTACCAATGAAATGTTTTTACTTCACCCTTGGGCTATGATTACACCTAAAGTTTCAGCCTGAAAAATTTCAATTATAGGTAACTGAAAAAGAACCTTTTTCAGTGGAAGAGTTTCAACACCCTCAGCCATACATGTGGCTTTGCATGCCTACTCAAGTGATAACATTTTTCTGTCCCTTGGTTAGAAGGATTCCTGTGAAAGCAAACTGGCTAACACGAGCTAATTTGTGGGGTTTGGGGTTTTTAACCAGGGATGTCAGCACCACCATCCAACCAGCCACTTATTCTCTTAACAACTTCTACAGGGTTCACTGCGAGCTGTTTGTAATGTGGGTTATTCACTTCTTCACATTTAATCTGACCTGAGTTGTGCATCCAGATGGGGTCTAGCCCCTGAACTACTCAAGAGGTATTTCTGCTCTACTCTTCACTAGTATTAGCATCTGCAGCAGTGAACACTAATCCACTTACCTGGTTTATTTAAATCCTCTTATTTTTGAATATTAGCTGACCTGGAGCCATTCAGCTGTGCTCCCATCAGTCCAGCATGGGAGCCTGCTCTCCTCCCTCCAGCCCTTTCCCCTGGACAGGTTCTAACCAAGGCAATCAGGTTTTTCTCAGCTTTTTCATTTCCCAGAGCCCTGTACAACAGGTCCTGCTCCTTATGTCAGGAGAAGGATGCCCACAGTTTTTATACCAGCTGCACCTGGAATATCTCAGGTGGACAGAACGTGAGATGCCCTTCTGTCAGCTTGAAGCATAAACAAGTGGAAGAAGTATTTGGTGGTCTCACCTGCAGAGATGAAATGTTTGGTCTATTACCTGAAAACTTGGTAAAATATCTCAAGGAGTTGTTGTACCTAAAAAGGTCTCATTTACCAAGCATTTTTAAACTTAGGCTCCAATAAATCTAATCTGTTATAAAGATAGATTAAAAGGAAATCTTGGTGGATATAAAAATGACATTTTAAAGTCAAAGCTCAAGAATCTCTTCCTAACTTCTCATAAATCATAATTTTATAGTACTTCATTTTAACATATTTGCCTCAGTTTATGAGGCAAAAGAATACCCTAATCATGTGGAAGCCTCCATGCACAGCATTTCCTGTAATTTTAGATGCCTGCTTGATTTCTTTCACTCTGGAAATATTCCAGTCATTTATCACAGTATCGTGCTTAAAAAAATAAAATGTACTGAACCTGTTTCTTTCCTAATGACCAGCATTTTCCCACTTTGATCTTCTTACAGCTCCCTAAAACATGGTGATTTATCTATGCTGTGTACAGGACCCAGGTGTTCTGCACATTAGAAACTACTCAGTAAATAAGCCGTACGGAGAGTAGCTGGGGAAGTGAGTTTTAAAAGAGCATGAAAACCACTTAACATTCAGTTCTTACCATCTCCCCTCTTCTTAGCTTTTGCAGAATCGTGTTTGAGCATCCATTGCCTTACACAGTCAAAAGAAAAAATGAATGATATGGAAAAGCATGGGGATTTATACAGGATTTAGACAAAATAGTGCCTGACTATTGGCAGGAAGGATAGGATTGATAGTTTACTGCAAGCTACGTGCTTTTCTTGGAGATTAATTCAACATACAGTTGATAGAAGCAGTGAATATACTTACAGAGTATTCTGATCAGTTTATTTAAAGCCTAAATATTTTATAAACAGATTGTTAAAGACTGGGGCTAATTCCCAGGTGGACTCAAGCATGCAGTCCCACAAGGCACTTGTTTCAATAAAATGAAGGGTAGCAGAGACAAGCACTCCTGACACGGACACTGCCACTCCAGCCAGCAAGGAGGAGTTTGGAGGGAACTAAGGGGTGCTAGGACTTCAACAAGCACTTAAGCTCCTCATGTGCAGTAGATAAATGTGGCCTATCTTTGGCTTATTTATGCAATTAAATCTCCTCTTTGGTTCATTCATGTGTGATATTAGGAACTGTGTTCCAGTGTGGTATCAGAAACAGAGTTTTTTCAGTCCTGACTGGAGGAGTGTTAACTTTTACAGTCCCAATTTGTACTTACCCGAAGTAAATAGTGCCCAGTGTGTGCATTATTAAAAAGTTAAGCAATACTGTGCTGTGAAAGAATATCCTGGCTTGGATTCTCTGGTAGGGCTTAACAGATAATTAACTATGTTAGGAGAAAACTAAGATTGCTTTATGCCATTTTACAAAATCGGGTGAGTAAGAGGTGAACAAAGGTCTTAGGGACAGCCAGAGCTCTTGTAGACCCTGGAATCATATAGGACTATAATACTGGCCTTACACACAGTTGCACAAGGCTCCAAAGGGCTCAGTGGGCACAGAGGAGCAGCTGAGCCTGAGGAATACCCCTATCCTACTGAAAACTTGTGCACAGAATGTAGTGTATCATCAGCATTTTTATTGATAACTGCCTTTGGTTTTACACTTTCGCTTTTGCTTGGCACAGATTTACTTCATAAATCTGGATTTATTACTTTGCTTTATTTTACTCTTGTTAATCCTAAAAGTAAATCTGTCTTTGGCCATTTTGGCTTGAATATTTAGTGCAATATTTGGATTTGAAAAGAAGGAACCTTTGATATGATCTTGACATTAAGGATTTTGGAGCTCAGAATCTGCATGTTAAAACCAATCAAGACAGGTTTCTGCTTCTGACATAAAACTGGGAGACATTTACAGCTAGGCAGTAACTTCTGTCCATTGTCTGTTATTTTCAGAGACATGCTTTGCAAAAAGAACCTGCAAAAAATTATCATTGTAGATTGCCTGGGATAATTTGGAATTCAGTGCAGTTACATTGCTTTCTCAAACACTGGAGCAATTGGACAACTGTTTATGATAAAAATGAAAGTTTAACACAAAATTACAATTCCTTGAAAATGAAGCCATGGGACAGACTGCCAGCTGTGCCAATAGGTGGGAATAGTGATGGCACCCCTCCCTCTGTGATGCTGCATGAGAAATGGCAGCATGATAGGGCACATACAGCAGCCAAGCATGAGGCTTCTTAAAATCCAATAGTTGTCATTGACCACTGCACATAATTGTGCCAGTGATGCTGAGAAGTGGTTTTTGCATTAAGTTGCAGTCATTCCTCATCCTGGGAAAAAAGGTGGCACCAGTGAACCCTAAGGCCACCAGTCTGGGAGTATGAAGGTGCAATAGATGTGGGATAAGAGAGCTCTAAGGGAGTGATGGGGCAGAGCAGCTTGCTTCTCCCCCTCCCAACGCAGGTGATACTATAGTTACTGTCAGAACTGGAGAACCAGCAAAGGGAAAACCTGCTGCCCTGTGGTTAGGGTGAGCCCCCAGAGACCTTTGTGACCCTATGTTGATTTCTTCTACCCCACTGGTTCTTCCCCTTTGCTCTGCCCCTGCACCCTCATCCCATTGATCCCAGTGTTTTATCCCACCCCCTGCCTTTCCCGTTTTCCCTGCTCCTTGGAGCTCTTGTTCTTGGCGTCTTTCACAGAGTGCGCTGCTCACAATAAAGGTTTATTCTCTGTGGAATATCATACAAGGAAGAATTGGAAGAATTGAACAGCTAGCCAGTGTGAACTAAAGATGTGCCTGTGCCCCTGAGCCATCCTTCTCAGGATACTTCTTCAGGAAAGTCACGGCACCCTTGCCACCACTCTGTCCACCGTGGCACTTGCCATCACTCTTGACTGCTTGAAGGGCTGTGTTTGGGCCCTGGCATCATGGTACTCAAGGCAGAGGACTTCTGATTCCAGCTTTACCAATACAATTCCATTTACAAGCATGCAGCTGTATCATACAGAAAAATATATTATATTAATTTAGGGTATGGAGTTACAGGTAGTACAGATCTTGGCTTGTCTGAAATCCTGAGAGCTTTGTCAAAAACTTCAGCAAAGCCAGAATTTCCCTCAATGTGTTTCAAGTTTGCTTGAAAAATTCCCTATAGAATTCTTTGCTACCAAGAATTTTTGGTACCAGGAGATCGTTCAGCTGGATTTTTGATTAAACTTGGAATTTGATAAAATTCTAATTTAGTTTTGCTCCAGTTCAGGCGGATAAGGATAATCCTTTGAACCTCATTGTACAATATGGTATGGAAGACTGGTGCAGTAGGGCAAATAAAAGTGCAGCAAGTATAAAGTTTAGCAAATTGTACATCAGTGAGTTATTCTACTTTCAAACTTGGGTTTTTTAAACTTATTGTCATGCCATGAAAGAAGTAAGAAACTGTGTGGGTAATTAAATATTTGCCTTGGGAGATTATTTGCAGTTAATTAAAGCCACAAAATTTCAGCACATACCTTTCCTACAGATTATTAAATTTGGATCAGATATTAACAACCTAGCTTTCTACTTATCCATCAGAGATTACTTTTGGACACTTTCAGGAACAGAGTTTTACAGGGGCATCCTTGGGTATATTGTAAGATTTGCTCAGCAATGTTGTTGAGAGGGGCCTTCCAGAATTTAAGCTGTAAAAGCACTGTCAGGACATAATTTATTATCACGTGCTGTAGATCTTTTGGCACCTTCACCTACTTTTTCCATTGAGCAGGATTTTACAAAGCATCTCACATGGGAACACGAACACTGATTGTCTGCTGCTGCTGTTATGACCTGGAGTGGACTTATCCTTGTGGTTTGCACAATGTCCAGTTAGATCAGCACTGGTTTTTAACGAGGTTCAAAGAGAGCTCTTTATCCAGTGAAATCTGTGTCTGAAGAGGATGAGCAAAATCACTAAATCACACTAAATTGAGTGTCTGTGTTGCTGTATTACCTGAATGCAGTGGAATTATGCATTATGTACTTCTCCATCCCCATGCAAAAACTGGCTGTTGTCAGAAAATGCTGTTTGATGCAACAAAATAATGCCCTGTATTTATGAAGACCCCAGATAGCACAGCAGTTGGACTTTCTGCCAAAATGTAATTTAAGCCTCACTGTGGCACTGGTTCCAGACATTGTTTTGGGCAGTTCATTTTGGTAGTCTGCCCCAAAAAAGAAAAGCACTCTTGGCCATAATGACCTTGGGAGCTTTGTCATCAAGTGACATGAGGCTAGGATTTCCATGGGGATTTATGGGATTTAATGTTTCTGGAAAGATTTAAAGTTTCTGTAAATTCAACCATGAAAAACTGTTATTCTAAAGAAATAATAAATCACTTTATTTATCAAGTAGGTGGTTCATGCTATTTCTCATAGATTTGTGCTGCTCCATTCATTAGGAATAAAATTCTTGGTAGTGCTGCTGATTATTTTTATGCAGCCTTCTTTGCCAGCTCCTGGTTTAAGGTTTATATTGCCAGCAAAAAACTGCTCAATAAGAGTAGGGATTCTGAAATCAATTTGAATAATTGGAACCCACAAATATACTTCTGTAGTTTATAAGACTGTAGTTAAACAGATAGAAAATTGGTCAGTGTATCAAAATGCCAAATATGAAGCTGGCACCTAAGAGCTCCTCTAACGCAATTCTACTTTTCCAGCATGAAAACTGCTTCAGGATTTATTTGTTTGTTTGCTTTTTTTTTCCTCAGATTCCCTGAAAGACTCCAAAGGCACGCAGAAGGGTGATTCAGTGCATCCTGTGGTGTGTGAACAAGATCAAGCCAAAGGTCAAGTTTTGTATCAAAGTTTTTTAAGACAGACATGGTGAACCAGTGTGAAACTTTAGTTCTTCCACTGTCAGCACCCAGTGGGCTTCAGCCTGACTTCTGCCACCTTAAAGAAATGCTGTTGGCTAGTAGAGGTTACGTGTCAGCCAGTTGTGGGGCAGTAACACCTGATGCTACTGGGAAAGCCACGTCTCTAAATAGGTCTAGCCATGCTGATCCTAGGTGCATAGCACTGTTATTGTGTCCTCCTGTGTTGTTATTGTGGTTCTGAAAGCCTGTGGGGTGTTTCTGTTCCTTCTGCTGACCGTCAAGTGCAAGCACTTTACAACAGCTCCTATGAGAAACAGTGTCAAGGCTGAGCTACAAAAGAAAAAAAACTGTAAGTGCTGCAGGATGAGTTTTGACCAGCTATCTAACTAACTTAATGCTTAGTACTGTTAAGTGATATTTTCATATATAAAATGTGTCCAGCATGGTTCACTTACTAGAAAAAACAGCAGTGCTTGGCTTAGAACTACCATGCTGTAGTTCTACGGTTCTAAGGTTCATGTTCTGTTTTAATGAATTTAGCATTGCCTGCATGCAGCATCATTCTGGTACCATTTTCTGTTTGTTGTATTAACAGGACAACAGGATGTTTCTGCAAATGAGGACATAAAAACTGGGGCAGATTCCCAAGGCTCCTGCATGGAAATAGAAGGTACTGCTTGTGTTTTGAAATCAAAAAGCAAGATTAACAAGCAAAAACACTAACACAGAATCATGGAAACATAGAATGTCTGGGATTGAAGGGACCTTAAAGATCAACCCCCCTGCCGTGGGCAGGTACACCTTCTATTCAGCCAGGTTGCTCAAAGCTGTATCCAACCTGCCCTTCAACATGTCAAGGGGTGGGGCATGGACTGTGTGTGACTCTGGGATTGAGATGAGTCCCAGTGAAGATTCCATGTTTGGAGTAGGCACATGGGATTTTGTGCTAAATCCCAGAAAGTTCAGTACCTTCAAGGCTTGGCTCTAAACTAGAGCCCCTTGAATTTCCTTGGACAGCTTTTTTATTTGTACTCATGGAGGAAAAGATCCTTTTCCTCTGCCGGTGTTTTTAATGGCAAGGTCTCTAGTGGGTGTTAATCCTTTCATGTCCATTCTGAAAAGCCTTATTCTTCATCTTCTTGTCAAATTTATTCAGATCCACTGTTGAACCAAGAAGACACAACAGAAGTTGAGGCTCCTTTGATACTTGGTGCAGAGGAAAAGAAAGAAGGAAAAGAAGAAGGAGGTGAGCCTATTATAAAGCAGATGGAGACAGAGAATGCTGCAGGCCTCATGTTATCCTTTTCTATTGTGAAGAAACATGGAAAGGGCACAGAAAATGCTCTTTTTCCCCCTAAGGAAAAATCTTTTTTTATCTTAAGTGTAGTTTTGATATATTGGACTTGAATTTCAATAGGAAGCTAAGTGCAAAAAAGTGCACACTCAGGTTCAAAAGTGGCATTTAAATACTCTCCTCACTTTAGGTTTTTTTGCATTTAAGCCCATAATGCTGATTAAACAACCAATTTATCCCCATGCAAGTATCCTTTTGATCACATTTGCTAGAAGCATTCAGGCTATTTAAATAAATGGGTATGACAATTATTTGTGAGATCATTAGTAGAGATTTAACTAAAGAGTAAGTAAAACTAGTATTCTAATGAAGAAACCAGTATTTGGAGTGAGAATGCAGAGTCCTCTGAAGCAGTAATTTTTTAATGGGAGTAAAGTATTTAAAACCTTGGGAGTGCTTTTGCAAGGAAATGTAGAAGTTTAAGTGTTGGATGCTCCTGGGAGCCCTGCAGTCATCTCACCATTTGTAGAGGCACATGGTTATGTAAAAAATAATGTATTGTGTAAATAATTCTCTCATTTTAAAGTAACTCCAAGTTAATTGTATGGTCATTTGTAGAGCCCAAGGATGAATTTTACAGTTCCAAATTAAAATGCAGACATGATTTTTATTGAAAATTCAGGTCAATACTAACTGTGTTGTCCTAATTATGAAGTCCTTTTCTCAGCCACATTAACACCAACTTAATTGCAAACCTGCGTTAGCAATATTGACAATTTTATTCGCTGCAAAGCCAGGTTAATAGAACCTCTTTGTTCATATACAGCTAAACAATATTTCTCTTTCTTTTTTTTTAAATTTTAATTGCCTATCCAAGTTGAGACTTATCACATCTCCTTGTTACCATTTGTGTTAATGGTATTGGTTTTGTGCTGTGTTAATGATGGTGAAGGTAGAATTTATATAATTCTTATGTTCAAATTCAGGTAAATGGTACCACACTACCTCAGTTGCAAACCCAGGTCATACAGTACAGGCTCACTATGATTGCAAATACCAATGCTGTTATGTTAATCTCCTCCAAATAGAAATTATTTACATATTTTATGCATCTTCACAACTAAATTGGAAAAAATGTACCTTCATTATTTGCACATTTTCCCCTCTTTACTACTTTAGCGTCCCCAACAGCTAGGGATTGTCTTTTAGTTCTCAGAAGAGAGATTATATTTCAACATCTGTGCTACTTACTATTAAAATATGCAATGTTAAGGAAAAGCAGGTAATGTCAGAAAAGAGTTGTTCTTGGCACCTTTCCTTTTCCAGCCCTTGACTTAAAAGTTTCAAATACTAAGTAAGTAAAAAAGTTCTTGCTAACTATTTTGGAACTTGTTCCTACCTGGGGTCTCAGGTGTTGATACTGTGCAGGGTTCATCTGATCCAAAGCTTGTTGAAGTCCATAGAAGTAGTGTCATCAATTTAAGTGATCTTTTGGTAAGTTCCATGATAAGAGGAGATGTGCTGAGTCTGTGTGCAGGATAACGGCATAAATATTCTGTTCAGCTTCTTCCAAAGATACTGTCTTTGGTGCAGGAAAAATAAATGGGTGCTCCTGCAGAGCAGGAGCAGAGAAGGAAATAAAGCCTTTCCTTTGTCTTGTTTTCATTCTTGTGGGTCTAAGCACCCTCATAGCTCATCTTGCTAGTTGCTTCTTGTTCTGGTGGGCACAAATTTTACCACATGGGTTTTGAAAGTTTGCCACAAAGTGAAGTGGGTCTGGACAAAAAGAGGTAAGAAAAATAAAATCAGCTGAAGTTCAGACTGATAAAATAAGGTATATTTCCCAATAAGAGATTTCGCTTAATGGAAAGAGATTACCTGGCATTAAAAAGAGATTTAATATGTGACTTTATTTTATGTAACCTGAGTGCTACCTCCTAAAGTAATTCAGCTGAAAGTTTTCCAGCAGCACACACAGTACATTTGATATAGGATGAAATACTGTATTTTTGTGTAAGAACGTGGGGAAAAGGCTAATGTGGGACTGCTAGTCCTGTGAAACAGAAATTAATGGATCTTTAGTTGGTTTGACCTATTCTGGATCTATATGCGTAGCCAAATGCAGCAACTACTACATTCCAAACTACCTGGTCTTGCTCTTCTACATGAGATTTTCTTGTGCTTGTTTTCAAACTCATCCCTGAGCAAAGGGTAGGAGGTAGCTGCCTCTCTCTTCTCTCTGTCTCACTGGGAGTGTTAGATTCTTGGGAGTTATCTGCAATCCCTTCAGTCCTCAGAACTGGAGCTGTGTAAGTCACTAAAGGACCAAGAACAAAGTCCTTTTTCCAACCTAAAGCTAGATTTCTGCTCAGTTACTGATTGCGGCTTTGAAGCATGCTGGGAAGTTTTTCAATGATGTGGTTTTCCGTGGAAAAAATGTCTGTTTCTTGATGTTTTAGAGATGTCTCAGTTTACATGAACTTCTGACAAACCACAGGTTATCTTCTGATTTAATTGTGCAAATTTTACTGCCAGCTCATCTCTGTGTTTTGGGGTTTTTTAAAGCTTGTGGGGCCTTTCTGTGTAGCTCATTTCACTTCACAGCTCCAGGGTCATGCTGTAGTGTGAATTCCCAAGAAGTCCCAGATCCTGGTGCTTTCAAGGTTCTGGGATGCTGGGAGCCCAGAGGAATGAAGAATCAAAATCTTGGCAGTCACGCTCCTAACTCCCATTGCCAGCAGTAACAACCAAGCCAGATTACCCTGAAGAATATAACAATGTGAGGCATGGTGTGTTTCATAAAAACCTGCTGTTGCTTTTTCAAAATCAGTAATAAAATATCACATGTGCCAATTTATTCCCTTTTTTCCTACTGCAACTTGAAGTTATATATTATGAGTGAGCAGCTGAAGAAAAAAGGCAAGCTAAGATGCCTTTTTCATTTTTTTCCAGCCACTATTGTGCACTCATTCTGGTTCACAAAAAAATAATGAAAATCTATGTTTCTTATAAGATTGGGGAATATTCTCAAATCCCTTTATTAAAAACCAGAGCAAGTGGTGATCACTGACCTATTTGCTGACTAGGTAAGTGTACACAATTTTAACAGACCTTTTGGCAGTCCCTTTATATGTACACTTGGAAGTAGTCCTGTTGTGTTGTAATGACCATGCACTCAGCACTTATTTGTAGGTTTAATCAGCATATTTATTCCACAACACAATTTGCAGCACATGGAAATAAATCCCATATTTGTGTGAATATGCAGCCAGTTTCTCTTCTGAGCCCACTCTCACCTCTGCCATCTTATTTCCCCTCTCTTTTGTATCTCCCTTCATTGAGACATTCAATATGATGATTTTCCTCACTAATCACCCTTAGAATACCTTTAACTCTTTGAAGGGGTAGGATTTCTGTCAGAGCACTAGAAAATGAACAGTTACTGCTGTTATTTCTCTGTTTTCTCTCCTCTCTATTTGGGCTGAATTATTTTGTCATCTTGTACCAATTTGGAATATTGTTTGAGCTTGATGTGTGATGTTTCTCCGCATGAGAAACATATTAGAGTGGCTGTGTAGAACCCCCACCTTAACCATGAGGTTAGGGCTGGCTCAGGGGCAGGCTGGGGGAGGTTTCCATCATTTGCAGTACATGTGATTTCCTTTGTCAGTCTTCTGATCAGTGCTTGTTTACTCTGAATTTGAAGTCTGCCTAATTTCAGATTTGAAGTCTGCCAAGTTCTGTCCTAGCTAAGCCCAGTTTTGCTCAACAGTCCTTGTAACATGAATAGCTGTAACCTGTAACTCTGTAGGCAACACCTTGTCCATTCTTCTCTTGTCCATTTTGCTTTAGCAGGAGTGATAATTTTATGGTGTAATCTTGGAGAGAACTAAATATTCCAAAACCTGGGGAAAAGAGCTCTCATGTTTTACAGCTACAGTCTCAGGCATTTATAGGATTTTATATGCATTGGTACAGTCGTAAATAATGTCAGAATAATGACTTTGTTATCAAGCAGTCAAAAATTTCAAAATGACATTGTGGATATAGAGAAATGAAAGAATTCTTGAGAAAGATCTTTTTGGACAAATCTGACATTTTTATTACTGATTCATGGCAATTTTATTGCTTAACCAAACTCCTTTAATTCTTCAAGTGGGAAAGATGAGACATTTTTGGGAAAAAAAAATCCTTCACTAGAATCTTTAAATAGGTAATTTCACTTTGTTTGGAAAGAAAATAATACTTTGGTTTGCTGTGGCTTCTAGACTACTTCTAGTATAAAGGCTCCTACTTCTTTTATTTAGTTGCTCAAAAAGGAGAGGAAAAAATATCCTGAACCAAATATAGTGCATTTGGTGTTTGATAAGAACCCATACTGAATAGATCAGAGCCATTTTTTGGGCTGTTACAGCATATTCAGATGCTAAATATGAACTATATCTTTAAAATCCTATTCTAAAAGATACTGATGCTTGGCAAAGCAAAAGAAAAGTGCACCATTGGACTTTTTTTCAGAAGTGTTGGAAAGGCTGTGGAACCAGAAAGTTGCAAATGGGTATTTAAAGCTCTAGGCTATGCAGAGATATGGGCTGTAGATGGGACTAGTGGGAGGTGTGCAGAGAGATTAGGAAAAGAAATCCTAAAAGGTACCTCACCTGTGAAGCTTTGCTTTACATACCTTTATTTTCTTGAGAACTTGACAAAATTCAGTGTGAACTTTGTGAAGTTCTCAAGAAACAGGACTTTTCTCGAGGAAGAGAACTTCAAGAAAGTTCACTTCCCGGTGAACTTTTCAGCTGCAGTATCAGCCAGTTGAGGACATTTTGTGACGAGATTAAGTTTGCCAGCCCACTGCGCTGAGTTTGTGGTGGTCCAAGGGCTGTGTCAAGCACTCTGCCCTGCTGAAGGCATTGCAGCTGTGGCAGAAAAGGATATCCAAGTCATTTCTG